CTTTGTCTTATCATTCCTCCGCCATTCACATCTATTTGTATGCTCCATGGTATTGCTCACTAGACTATACGAGGCTTCCGTTATCCTTTTTGCTATCTACATTCTGCTCCTTGAAATCGATTGGTAGATTACATGACCATATCACAACTAGCTGCCCGATACTAACTAGCAAGACGCTTAGAGAGGCGGTACATCGCAGGATAAAGGTTCAGTCCATCCACGCGCTCACTCGTAGTTTATGTGTGCTCACAGTTTCCGCGCGAACTGATTTGTTGATACAGATCTATGCTAGGGTGGCAAATTATTGAGTATGTTTCCAGTTCGGTGGTAAGGCGTGAATCACAGGTTATCGGCTTTTAGTCGCTTACAGTATGCATAAAGTGTAAAGTTTGACATTTGGAACACAATGCTCAATTATTTTCCCTCGTATGACTATGTTGGACCAGGGATTCAAAAAAAATCGTTCTGGAAACTCCGTGGCAAGTGAACAATCCCGACAATTAACTGACTAGCGATTATCATTATGTGGACAGTTCATGTTCCGCTCCACAGGTTAGTGATGAGAATGAGCATAGCTATATTTTTGTTGTTCATCAGCCATACTGAATTTAGCTGCGTTTATGAAAAAGCAGGTACTAAGGCTATTGAAGGCAGAAGCATAGAGAAGCCTAACGGAAGTTAGATTGGACATGGTCAACCTTCTGGGTGGACTAAGAAGGTAATGTTAACGGTAATGGTATGTCAGTGCCTTAGTACGTTACATCGGAAAGAAATCGGTGCGTAGCGGAAATTGTTTTAGGAGCATTAAATGGCTGCATCCGAGATGTACGACGCAGATTATTACCAACTAGCTTAATGCTACAGCAGAGTACACAGCGTTATGTAAAAGGTTTGAGTAGTTGGATAAGAGTCAAACTAGGTTTTGAACGTATGTAAAAAGTTGCGGACACTGTTTTGAGAACTGAATGTTTAACAGTGGGCAGCAGGACTTAGTTGATGTAGTACTTTGTTGTCGCGCCAACAAAGCCATAAGTGGCGTACATGTGATCTAACCACCTGTCAATGCTTAAGGTTGCGCATCAAATGGTTCTTTGAGAATACGCACGTACCTCGGACAACAGATGATCGGACCGACCAGGTCTTAAGCGACGGTCAGCGATACGGAGATCCCCATCACATTCGCACACTGCGCGACCTTATCCATCAGCTCCCACAAGCCCGACTCCACGTATACGAGGCAACACCCCGATGCACACTATTGTACTGTACCTCTCTATTAGTTATCATTCATTCTGATAACCGTACTGATATAAGTTGTTTCACAATGCCTATACCGTTGTCGTACAAATATAGATGCCCAGCATTTAAGGCTATCATTGATGTGTACGTTTAAATGTTAACGGAAACACCGACAGTTCGTATTGGGTACTTACCCACGTACGTGCGATTTACCATCATTTGGAGAAAATGGCTGTTAGCGTTATCTACAAACGGAACCCATGCATGTTAATAGTACCATTGTGCACAAGGTTTACTGTGTCTCTATCCAGTTTGTGGTAGTTTGGATTACCGCATGTGCAGATGTTGTATTCGAACTGCTTTTGGTCACGGATGGCGCCAATCCGTGTGTATAGGTATACCGAATAAATTCGACGAAGGTACTCTTACAGCTATTTTACAGTCAATTTAGTGGAGGGAAGCGGAACGCGGGCAAACCGGAAATAACATTACTAGAACATGAACAAAGTGAGTTTATCACGAACTAATTTTGATTTTAACTGTTAGGAATCAAAAGCAGAGTTGCTCGGTGCGAATTCCATGGGCTCATCAAGAAGGCAGTTGCCCAAGTGCTGGAGAGGGCACTACTGTATGTGGAGGGAAAACGCGATGCATTTGCTCCCATTCGATTTACGTATCTAGACCAATAAAGCGGCGGCAGTGATACGTTTGCTCGTGTGTTGAGTATTCTCCCAGTTCAGGGGGTTACATGTTGATTGAACTCCCCGGTATGGCTGCGCTTGATGTGAATGCTGACAAGGTGCCTATCTGTCTAACACCCTCCACCTTGATTGATGGTTGCAGGGGACATTTAATCGTTACTAGAGGGGACGGGGTGCACTGTCTTCGTGACGGTGCCAGGTTCAAAGAGTGGTTCTGTCCTGTCTGGAACGGGGTACGGCCCAGCTACAGCCTTGTGTACGTCTGGTACGCATTATTTCCCAATTAGGCTGGAATGCTTCTATTCTGTTTGCTAAAGGAGTGTGGGCCGGCTCCATTGATGATCCGTGGCTCCCATCCACATGCCTTTCGGTCTTATTCCTTCAGGTTTGCACCGGATATGGGGTGTGTGGGTGGAACTGTGGGTGCTGCAGCACAAGCCACCCATGGTCCCTGTGTAGGCGCAGTCGCCTTGTGGCTGGATACAGTGACAGGCAAATCCTAAGACGGATGCCGCCAACCATATATATATATATATACATATACAAATATATATATATATATATATATATATATATATATATATATATGTTAACGGTGATGAGGCGATAGCACAAAACGAGTGAATTAACCAGCTCGTACCTTAGCACAGTGCTACTAGATTTGTTGAAGGGAATTAACTGCTTTAAATCTCTCATGGACGAATAGCCGCTGAAACTGTCAAATTATCTCCCATTCTAGTCATCGAATATTTATTTAGGTACCGGTTCTCAATCCCAACATGAAGCTACACACATGGAAGCACTAAGCGGCTTGAGTGGGGAAAATCTCCTAACTGGGAGCATGTATCGTCTCACAAAAGTTGGAGCTTTAAAGCTTGTTATCGTGAGTCCTCGGTGTCATGCGCATTAGGAGAGCACTGAGACTTGAAGTGCCAGTGATGATTGCTCACTCATAATCATGCGCACGAGCATCGGCCTCGCTGGGGCTACGCGTCGTTGTGTGTGTCATCGGGCTTTATCAAACGCGGACCTCCGCCATTGTTTTAGAGATACGGGATACTAGTGCTCTGGTATTCAAGTTCAATTAATGCAAGCGCGGGGTTAGCGAAGGAAAATACTGGGTGTAGATAGGCGGGAATATTTTGGTGAGATTCGGGACGATACCCAGACTTACGTATCCCTCACGCTTGTAGGGGTAAAGAGAAATCATACTACCTGGACTGACCAAGCGGAACGGTAAAAAGAGACCTAGACCATTTTACCTAGAGAGACTGATTCTGTGAAACACTTGCATTGCAACAACTTGATTTCCTGTGAGTCAAAACCGTTTAAAGACTAGAGATTAGCATCTGGAACTCCATTGCTATTCAGCACACTGTACCAATATCGTCAGTTAAAAGGGGGCGATCGGGCGGATCCACTTGGTTAGACAAGCAAGGATGCGAGCAGCGCACCGGCTGGTGAGACTCCATAACACGCGACGCATCACCTACGCGTCAGCGTCTAAGACCACCTGGCCGTAAGCACCTTTGATATAACGCGCCGCCCCCCTTCCGCTTCCGTGCACTGGGTCAGTGTGTAAAGCGAGGGGCCGGCCCCCTGAGGCACGAGTTTCCCTGATGAACCGACATCGTCCGATGCTTGGAGAGGAGTAACAGGAGGGATTCGGACCACATTTGTAAGGTTGCCGAGACTGCTGTTCGTCCCTCGTGGCTCAGTGATCTTAATTGTTGGGTCGAAAAAATAGAGTCACCAGTTCTAGCTCATCACTATACAGATGGAAACTGCACCCCGAATGAATTCTAAAAGAACGAAACGGCGGTAGAGTGTTTATCAGGATGATCAGTGGCTGTCTGAACAAATGTAACTGTGATGAATCTGATTTTGAAATGACATCAAATCCCTTCCTCATCACCCTCTAAAGACTAATGAAGTGTATGCATCGACGCCCGATCTCGAACGGAGGATTAACCCCAATGGTCAGTGTAAGAATGGAGTCGTCTGTCACAGGACGAAGTAAAGAGAATATATCAAAAACCGAAAAGTAGACGTAGACAGTTCGTGACAAAACATGAGTATCTGGTCAAAACCATACACCTCTCGATCATAATCGCATAGGCAAGTAAGGCAGACGGGTGGTGAATTGACGAGTTCTTAATTGTGTCACAGTTTGTCCTCGAAAACTCACATAACCGAAGGAACGCTTCATACGACTGTCAGCGGTGTTGAATAGCATTCTTACAATTCAAGCCAATGGAGCAAGAAAGGACGCCACATGACCAGATATAGGTCAGGAGGGCGCAATTAGAGGGTCCGGAAAACAAGGGACTCGAGACAGTGAACAGAGCAACGGGCCATTGGCTAATTTCGAAGTCTAACTGAGTGTTGTAATCTACCTTTTTGTATACGAGGCTTGTATCACCAGAATAGTAAAATAACTTCCAACATTAGTATAGAATAGTCCTTAATACGAAGGTGTACCTAACTGGATCTCACCGACAGCCAATAAATGATGTGACATAAACGTAAGTGAGGAGATTTACATTGGAGGCTAACAGCAGTAGGGAACACTGATGCGCGATGGCAATTTGAAGAAGCACAACGCGCAATCAGAAAAAGGGTATGGTTGGAAAAGGTTAAGCAACTATAAATTCATGTTTGCCGTCCTAATTGTGACGGATTCGGTCAGTGAATGAGCAAATATTTACACTGTTGTCGAGCAACACAATAGGGCGAAACACTAATGTCAGCGTGATGTAAAAAGTAGTGTGGTCACATCAAGAATTAAGACGGCATATTATTAGGGTGTGACAGAACAGGGAGTCACAGACCAAGGTCATCAGTTCGTTGCGATGGAAAATGGCCCGAAATTGGGGCAGACCGAGTGAATTGGAATAGTGTCTGGTGAATTGTACACGGAGAATTTAGAAAAAAATTGTCGGCAAAGCACAGGACATTCTGGCCCGAACGAAGGTGGAATGTCGCCACGGCAACACACACGAAAATACTTAAAAAAAACGTGAAACCCGTGATTAGGAGGGAAAGTGGAGCAGGACTCACTTGTCTCACGCCCATGATTTTCGCGAATAAACCGTGAAACGAACGGTTGTTAGCGTCGCCAGCGGCAATGTATAACTCCTCTAGTCTCTCCACGGTTAGAAAACGCTGCATATTCACTCCCTTTGCTAGTAAAAGACGTACGAACTCCAGACGATCATTGAGGAGTGCATCGGCCATGGCATTTTCTAAAGTGGTGGTCTGCGTAAAAGTTAGGGTGGGACGGTGGAAAGAGTAATGAACCTCAAAAACGAATGCAATTGTTTCGGAAAGTAAATTGAAATCCATGAAGCGATCAGACTGAAACGAGTGTTGGCTTAGTGTCCTTCGAAACTGAGTACCTGAACAACGCTCTCATCGAAACTGACGGAATAAGTGAGGGGGACCACAAAATGCTCGAGGAACGACGGCAAGCAAAAAGAAGGAACGAGTATGGTTTTAGAACAGCAATTCGTGGAGGAATTCTGAGAGAAATAGACTGAATTAGAGAGGAACGATTGAAAGGCTCGGATTCCCATAATCATGTACCTGAATGTTTCAAAGGCTTAGAAAGAAATGAATAAACGGTTGCAACCTACATCGCATTATCTCGGGACAGGCTATCAAGCAGTGGAACAGTGTCCCAGGCGGTTAAGAAGCAATTGTTTGAAGGCACAAACGGAGAACGACAGTGTACGAAAAACAGGACGTATTACGTAGATACAATGGCAGCTCATTTGATCAGAAACCGAATTTGGAAGTTGTGCACGGTCATCCGGGCAGTCATATTCTTAAAAAAGGAGACAATCTAATTATAAGATAAAGTGGTTTCTTTCATTGTGAGATTACGGAGTACCCGATATGCGTCCGCATTGAGATATGTACTCTCAATTGTGGCCACAGTTTGCTTTGCAGTCGACTGAGGTCGCATCCGAAAGGTAGAGCTTCGGTTTTGCGCGCTCCGAACACCGTATTTCATGATCAGGTTTGATCTTGTTTATGTTATTTAAGTAGACAAAGTTGAGCTTGAGAGTGGAACCCGGAAAGTAGTGGTTAAAGGAATGGTGGGCGTTAAACACTGCGAGGGAAACTGAACAGCACTGCCGTACAAGGGGCTATTGGCGATAGGTGCCCAGGGGGTGACTCCAGAAGATAGATGCAGGTGGTATAAATTCAACGGCATCGCGACTGCCGTCGATTGATCTGGGAATTATAGGTTAGTGAAGGGAGTTGAGAGTGGAGTAAGAGAAACAGGTGGAATAGAAAGGACGCATCAGTAGCAGCATGCTTTTGTGTCACTGGTCTGCTGTATGAAGCATATAAGGCGACCCTTGGTAAGGTGCGCGACGACCGATGCAGGATTTGATTGACGTTTGAAGAAATACGCATGGTTGAATGTTTGTTTAGATACTGCCAACGCACCCAAACCTGGACAGGAGAATGATTGAGATTTTTAACCAAAGACTTTGGCTCAAAAGCCTGCTGGCAAGGCAGCGGGGAGGTGGCAATGATTTCGTTTCACAGAAATTGACGCCATCCCATCTCAAACCCCCAACCGGGAGGCTGTTGGTCTGACCTATAACCAATAACCAACCTGGTAGCTCTCAAGGGGACCGTGGGCACCAGTCATTATAGCACAATGGGTAGAAAAGGTACGCAAACGGTCGCACTACATTAAGGTCCAGTCTGGTTGCAATGGACAGTAGGAAGTACCGGTATACTGTTGATACATATACAAGCTGCTCAAAGTGGGCCATTACTGAGTGACGCGTTAGATTTGTGCAGCAGATCTACTGCCACTGCGTTTAGCTACTTCCCATACGAGTTGCATCCACAACCTGGTTGACTGGTATGGAGAGCCTCGATGAACATTGGTTGGTGCAGGTTTTCCCTTTGTCCATCCTCGTTGATGTCTGACTTTGTAAACCATGTGTGGTCAGTTATGACTATGTTCGGGTCCAAAACATCCCATGCCACCCCCTTCTGTGCTCTGCGTGACGCAGACAGATTTTGGGTGTTACCCACCAAAAAGCACCGCACTGCATGACGATCACATTAAGTAGAGCTAACAGGAATTGAATCTGGGACTATCAGTATATTAGCCGAAAGCTCCACCTCTTTGTTTACCAAAATATGCAGATGCCTTATTAGCCAGAGTCGTATCCTCGTGATGGTGAAAAATGTTGCGACATGTAACATAAAGCAAGTAAAGCACATCGGAATTGGAGATTAGCGGGTGGCTGATACTTTCCGGGTACATAATTATGGATACTTAAACGGTTTCCTTAACTTGGCCATATCAAACGAGAGATAACCGAATGTAATTGCTCAGAAGAGTCTAACAGTAAGATAAGCAACTCGACAGATAGATCGTGAAAACAAATGGAGTGAAAGGTCGACAGAAGAGGGGTGCATGTGAGTGCAGGGCTGTCTGCATAGTTGCTCGAGACCACGATACCAGACGGATTAGAGTAGTTGAAAGGTCATTGGCACGAGCCAAATGTGTGTATTCAAGAGGTTGGCATACGAACAATGGCAGTTGTTAAATCGGATGAACAGACAATGGTACATATTTCAACTGTGGTCGGTAGACGGTGAACAAGCGACTCACCGTCCAATTGTGACAGGAATTGAACACTTTGGACCATGCAATATCCGGACGATCCCAGGCCATTGTAAGGGATAACTGTTCGGCGGGTGTGAGCTTCTGTCCGGACACTTGAGAAGATGGGAAATATGAATGTGACGTGTCACCGGGTATGAATCACGAGGATAGTGTACTGGGGGAGAGTATGGAACATTACACGGCGCCCACATGGATGGAATGGAAAGCAACGTTGAGCGCCGTGTAGTTTTCGGAAAAAACATCCATATATAATAAAAAGGTAGTGTGAGCTTTCGTACAAATTTAAGCAGCCAGAAAAGTGAGAACCCGCGTTTCCTTAACTAATTAAACAGATGTCCCTTTGAATATCAGAGTGCAACAATGTAAATACATAGAGTAGAATGGGAGCACATAAGTCATGGTGGGCAATCCATGATACACACGATGTCACTAAGAAATGTATAGTTCCCTTCATGCGATAGCCACACTCATATGCTCAAGTTGAAGAGTGTCAAACAAAAAGGTAAGAAACCAGGTGAAAAGCGACTCTGCAGTAGCCCCTCGGACGAAAATCACGGCAACCGTAAGAACGTTCGTTTTGTCAACACAAACATACGAAGATACAGACAATAAGTATAGTGAATCTTAAAAAGGTGGGAAGAGGTGTTAACGTTCACCTAGGGTCGTCACAGTTAGACGAGGCTATATTGTCACTAAATCCAGTGAGGCGAGGAACGGTTATCTCGCTTTGTTAGTACTCAAGAATAGCGCGCATTCATCTCTACCTTTTCGAAGTTTAAATTCATGGCCACGTAGATTACAAACCTAGAATTGTCGTGAACATCCTTCGAGAGAGATATGAGGGGCAGGAAAACATTGTTATGGAAAACGTCGGTTTGTTGTCAACCACATAGCCGCTTGTGCGAGTTGGCATTTCAAGACAACCTGTTTGATCACCATACATGGTTGGCGGCATCCGGTTTCGGATTTGCCTATCATTGTAACGAGCCACAGGACGCCTGCGCCTACAGAGGGACCATGGGTGGCTTGCGCTGCACCACCCACACTCCAACCACACCCCATATCCAATGTAAACCCGAAGGAATAGGACAGGGAGGCATGTGGGTGTGAGTCAGCTTTCATCAACGGAGCCGGTCCACACTCCTTCACAGGCAAACACAAGCACACTGTAGTTGGGGAATCAAGCGCACACAAGGTGGTGGCTGCACCGTAGTCCGCTCCACACTGAGTGCATGGAACCGCTCTTCGAGCATACTAACATTACTAGGTAACAGTTGCGCAAGCTGGACGGCGGCGCTGCATTAAGGTAACAAGCGACCGAAATCGCCTTCATCCATGGCCGGGGAATATCCGGCTGACATGATACGTCATGATTTATCTTGTCCACTCCGGGCGAAAAGCTCCGCCGTGCAACATTGATTCTTTGTAATTGTTACCTTTGTGAGCACCTCTTGTTCTTCGCGGGTGGAGCCATTGTGCATTCAAATGGGATCAAACGCACGAAACATTCGCCCATCCGGTATATTGTAAGTCACGTGGTTGTGATTCTCAAGTCTCCTGCGCTGCCCTCAGGAAGATCTGAGCAGGCACGGTGACCCCCCCCCCCCATTGTCAATGTGCAGAGGAGAGCAGGAAAGAGGCGGGCGTTCAGAATGGTAGCTGCTTTCACGTCTGTAATTCATCTGGTTTTATACCTCTTGGAAATTTGCTGAGTTGGACTATGCGGACGATATCTTGTCGATATCTGCTAAGCATGAGGAAGCGTAATCAATCAAAAAATACTCTGAAAGTGTCTCATCATTTGGCATGTGCTTGCATCTTCAAAGTGCAGTGTTGTTGCAGGACCACCGGTCAGTTGGTGACCACTTGACTATTGGCGATTAGGATCTGGACGTAGGTAACCAAGTCAACTATCAAGGCAGCTACGTTGGCAAGCGACGGACATGTGGGCACTGACGCTAGTTCATGTATTTTGAAAGTTAGAAGTGAAGTAGTAGATCTACGACATCTTTGGTACCAGTAGCGGATTCCCGTCTATTTGAAAGCTTGTGTATACAGGGGCCGTTCTTCTTCAAGGGACTGTTAGTTGATAACTTCTGAGGCACCTTCAAACCTTTGGTCATTGCTGCCTGCGCAGCATTGCTCGTTTCGGGTTTCAGCAGTGTTCACAAACATGATTTGCATAGACGAGTAATAGTCCTTCAGGACAGCAAACAACATTAAATAAGCTGCGTTGGTTAGTCAACTGCTATCAATACCCGTTCACCAGATACCGAGAAATGCCTTGTTTACCGGAAGGTGGGTGGCGCAGAGTTTCATGTGGGCGAAAGATAAATTGCACCGTGAAACGAAGCCACTGACGACTAAATTGGGTACTGCTGATCGGTCACCTCTTTCAGGCGGGATTCCTAGGGATTCGTCCTGCGACTGGCTGGAGAGTATAGAATACAACTAACAGCCCGTACCCGTAGTGCATTAGATGTAGTCTGAGACTGTATTTAAGAGCAAGTAGAAAGGTTTCTATACAACTCTATGGAATTACGAAAAATCAGAAACATTTAGTTGTGAATCATTAGCAGTTGTGTCTGGTCACTTAATCGTTTATCCTTGTTCGGTTAGGAATTTGTACCAGTGTCATTATTTCCGGGCATACGATGTCTTCCTTGGCACTGTATGTGCATTGTTTCACAAAAGCACAGGTTTCCGAAATAATCGTCGATACGTGTTTTAAGACACTTCACAGAATCGGCCTCTATTAATCCTTCTGGTAGTGTATTCCATAAGTTTACGATACTTCGTTCCATACAAAGCTGATGTGATACTTTGTTCATGCAGGGGACCCTGACGTCATTGGGTGTTACAGGGTTCCCACAGGTGAAATACTGGCCGCAGTATGGGGAAGTGATTCAAGTGTAGTACTCGATGGGTCATAATAAGGTCAATTCTTACTCGGTGGTAGAATAGTGTGTAGAGTCCGAGCCTTTCACGATGTTTTTCATACGGAAGCTTTGTAGACTCGGTATCATTCTAGTTGCGATATGCTGTATTTTCTCCAGCTTTTCAGTTTCCCACTGGGTTATCGGATGGTAAGCTGGGGCACTGTATTCAAGGACTGGTCTAATGAGCGAGGTGAATAGATGAGGGACGGTTTCTTCGGACCATGTGGAGAAACTGCGTCTTAATGCCCAGAGCATATGAAGTACCGCACGGTACAATTTCTCTGTATTTTCTACTGAACTCATATCATGTCGCGAGAGCACTCCTAAGTCTCTGACAGATGTGTTAGGGTGGAGCAACTGGCCGTCCAAGGTGTATGATCGAGTGGTTGGACGTCTGATGATACTGATGAACTCCAACTTGCTTGCGTTAAGAGGGAGTTGCTTTTCAGTGGACCACGTTGACAGTCGCTTTAAGTCATGCTGGAGGCGAGCGCAGTCGTCCTGGTTCTCAATAATCCTCCAGATTTTCAAATTATCTGCAAATAAGGCACATGGTGACTGGAGCTGCTGCGGAAGATCATTGATATGAATAAGAAATAATACTGGTCCAAGTATATTTCCTTGAGGCACGCCACTGGTCGATTGGAACCAGACTGTCAGGTAGTCATTGACCTGCACTCTAAACCTTCGTCCCACGATAAACTCGTGTAACCACTGAAGTAACGTGCCACCGATTCCGTATGTCCTTAGTTTACGAAGGTGTACCTCATGGTTCACTCTGTCAAACGCCTTACTAAAGTCGATGTACATCACGTCAACATCCTTCTGTTCATCGAGAGCTCGTCCCACTGGTAGTTTGCGTACATCAAGTTGGTGATGCAGGATCCCCCTTTCGTATAAGCCGTGTTGCGCTGGTATCAATACGTCCATCGATTCGAAGAACGACAGCAGACACTTTTTCACAACCTTCTCGAGAACTTTGGATAATACCGGAGTCAAACAGATCGGTCTATAGTTCTCTATTTTACTCGGATCACCACCCTTGGGTAGCGGTCTCACCATCGAGCATTTCCAGTCGTTGGGGACAGATCCTTCAGAAAATGATTTATTGAATAGGTTTGCAACGGCTGGTGTGATGATAATCGATAGGGACTTGAGTGTTAGTGGGTGAAGTCCGTCTGATCCTGGGGGCTTTACACCATTGAGGTTGACGAGTAGTTGATACACTTCGACTGCATCACATTGTAGGTTGTCGAGCAAGACTGGCGCAACCTGTGCCGGTACTGGAATAGCCGCCGGTTTACTAGAAAATACAGTGAGGAAGTGCATAGCCAATACAGTGAGGAAGTGCATAGCTGAATATGATGCGGAGTAGTAAAAGCCGCATGGAAGCTGTTTCGTTGATACCGTCTTACCCTCTCATGATATTCAGTAGTTCATTACAATGTATTGTTGACGACATGTAGGTGCCTTGTCATTGAACGTTTTCTTAGGGTATCTGGGTATTAAAGGAGGTCACTTCTCTCCCCCTCTTGTCATTTATCATTCGCTAGGTCATTGTAATTGTAGAGCTGCGAAGTAGCAGTTAAGATTAGCAACGTACTGTTGTTGATAATGATATCCTGTGGCTGCCCCATGGCCTGCTGTTAAATGCGCATTCGTCAGATTCAAAACCTAGAATCTATGAACGGCATATAAAAAGCCGGCGGTCTTTTCAAAAGGTTAATCACAGAATTATGACGTGACAAATTTGTGGTAATGGAATATTCATCTTTCCTGAATGCCTGAGACAGTTCCTTGTCTGGAAACAGGGACACGGTAATGATGCCGAAACCAAATATGCAACATGTACTAGGCACACATACCTTGAAGCAACGCAGTGAGGATGGTGATGTCGATCTCATCACTATCTCCTTCACCCATGCGAAAAACACTGATCTAGAAGGGAGAGAGGAAGCAGATGACATCTGTGCAATGAAAAAGCAAGGCAAGTTGACGTGACGCGGTTAGTACGTTGTTTTACGAAGTGGATGAAAATAGCTAATGCGGATCCTGACGGTGTGAGGATAAGGGTTAGAAATAGAACGGAACCATCCACTTTATGGAAGGCTGATTCGATAAGCCGCGTCAAAGGAGTTGTACAAGAGCGATAATGCAAGTTAGATTTGGGGACAGTTATGCGCAAGCTATCACGTCGGGAACATCGCTCAACCTAGTCCACGTCGCTTGGGCAACTTGAATGGGGAGAGATGTCGCGTTCGACGTACACGCCAAGGTGACAGGAATTCGAACAGAATGAAAGGATTCCTCGTCGTAAACGGCTATACACGGAGGAGCACGTCTGAGTTGAGGCTTTTGGTGTACAGTCAAACCTGTTCAAGGCAATCACTCAAGAGATCGACAAAATGTGGTCGCCTTGGACAGGTGGTCACCATGGACAGGTTCATGCGTAGGGACATTACTCATGGTAGAAAAAGTTAGGGATGTTTTGGTTGATCGTCACAGCAAGTTAGACTGTAATATGTAAGTACTTCACTGTAATCAGCTCCAAGCACCAGACGGCCGTCTCTTTCGATTGGGATCCGTCATTAGTGTGGATCCTCAGCCGCTGTCAGGTGACAAACCCGTGACAGCGGCACAGAATGGTGACCGTAAGTTAGCTGTGATACAGCGCTGCTTACCCCTGTGTCACAAATCTCTGACCTCGAGAAACCATGGGTTTGTTTTCTGGTGGAGCCGGGGATGCACACTAATGGCAAGTCCAATAAGAAAGAAACAGTCGCCTGGTACTTTCTTTGGAGGTTTGGGAGTCTTTATACCAAGGAGGTGAGTGAGTTGAACTATTAATAAATAACATTTAGAAATGCTGATAGATCGAGGCAGTGTAACACCAGAAGGGATGATGACGAACATCAAAGTTTTTAGTAGAGAGGAGTCTGGTACTTACCTTTGGCTGCTACGACATATTATTCAAAGGCTGAGTAGTTCACCACTCCGAATTCCACTTGTTGAACGTATACAACAGTTCATCAGACAAGATTCGTATAAAAATAAAAATACACACTCCAATTTAATGGACTAAGAGAACGAGAGCGGCTGTGCTACTGCCTTCATGAGAGTATCCGACCAATGAGGTGGCCGACTTCGATGACTCCACTTGGAAGCATGCTACGCACCAATCCCACCTAAACTTTCAGTGAACGGCGAATACACTGACAGTTTCGTGAAGGCTGTGGTTGGACATGGCTTAGAATCGGAAGACCAAGTACACTCAGAGAGTGCAGGCAAGTGAAGAAAGGAGGAGTGAAGGACCCCGGAGAAGTTTACTGCGACCTTGTTGTGTGGGGAATTTCACATGCACCCTTGAATGTGTTGTCGGAAGCTTTCAACATTATCTCATGAAAACCGCGGATGAAGGATACATTGTGTTGCGAGACTTGAAGTCATGCAGTCCGATGAACATAACGTTAGCCAGACTACTTTTGGTGGTCACGTTGTGATCACCGCATTAGGTGACACAAAAACTATGGCAAGCTGCTGACGAACAGTGGAGGACCCAGACCCCTTCATTGAGAGATGAGTAGAAGCGTGAGTATAAGTAAAATTGTAAGCGTTAAATTAATACGTTTGTGGGATAAACAGTACCTAATGAACATTAGCGAACTGCAGAAATAACCACACACTGAGGGAGTTCTGGGCCTGGTTTCATGTAGTGCGAGAATCAGAATGTGGTGAAGATAGCTCTTATAGCTTTTGTGACAAAGGCGGACGCATCAAAATTGAATAAAATAAATTAAGTACAAAGTATAAGGTTGATTCGAAGCAATTAACAGAGGACTGCATAAAGAGTGTTCGATACAAGTGGCCGGCTTCTCGACATGCAGTATGTCGACAACCATACCCTAAGCTGGGATGGTTTACAAACTTGCCAAAAAGTGTTGGACAGATTAGCACTGGCTGTGAAATAGTTCGGGTCGTACTATGCATCCTCAAAATGCAAAGATATCCTCCAGGATGGCAAAGACCAAGTCCCGCGATGACCATTGATGCGGATCGGCTAGCAAATGTTCAAAAATTCTGTTACCAATGCAACCAATCAATACGCAGCGAATAGAAGCAACGGTTGCAAACCTCACAGCGAAAGCTCGAGGTACTTTCGTTAATCTCTGCAACCTGTGGCGCCGGCGCAATACGGTTTGCAACATAGCCGTGTGTTCAACCTTTCTGCACCGTTGCGGAACATGGACCACAATGTCGACAGTCATAAGGAGTCTAGTTGCGTTCGATAACCGGTATATTAGAAGTTTAGCTCGTAGCCAAGTGAGAGAACAGCGTGAGCAACGAGCGTAATTGCCACTCTGCTCTTTGATGCAGGAAGAGAAAGTGAAACGCTCAGCACTACTACTTCAAGCACCAAGCTCTGATGACTGGGCTATGTGAAAAGCATGCTAGCGCACTGATTCTCGAGACGCGCATTATTTGTGTGACCATGATGTAGCTGGAAGTAGAGAAGCCAGTCGATGCCGTAGTGAAGACGCACGAAGTATCTCACTGTGAAGTTGTCCTAGGTTGGCGCCCCGGCTTCCGGATTGGGGTCCAAAAGATGATGAAGGCTGAAGGTCTTTGTAGACATGACTATAGCGTTTGTATTGTGAGCATCTTCGTAACTCACCGCTTACCCTCCCATTCCAACCACAAGATATCTTTCGATGTATAACAAAAAAGTATAATATTGAGTTTTCTCTCTTGTACTCTTATCTATGTTGTGTTGTATTGCGGCAGAACAGCTATGGTGTTTCATGCACGCAGATAATGCACGGAACGAATGTGCGTATGCATCGAAGATCAGCGAACAGGGATGAAAAATGAACGGAGAAAAACTGTCAGCACATTGGAAATGTCACGGTAGGGAACGGGTACAATCGCTAGCTTGAGCACATCCCTGGACGTCATTGAAAGAGGAGAGGCACACAAACAAATACGGCCCTGACAAATAGCCCTGCCGAATCTTTAAGGTCATTTGCGGGTCTAGGTCAAACATACGGGTTTGGTGTGCAAGCGATAAGATATCGTTAATGCGCTTCAACTGATGACAGTGAACTGGTCAAAAAAAGCAATCCGCCTTTGGCAGGTGGTCAGAAGCTTGTAATGCTTACTCGGAGGGTGTGCCTCAGACGTAGGTGAAAATGTGGAGAGGATGCAAATGGGGTGCGGTATATAATGCTTGTGGGTTGTGAACCGATTGGAGAAGTCAAATTTGATTTAGAAAACGTGGTATCGATTATGGGTCAAACGAATAGAGGGAGAGGCACGTAAGGAAAAATGGCTCGTATAAACAATGAAAGCCACCACTTAGAAAATATACAGACCTAATTAAAGTAAAAGTTGGGCAGTTCGGTCCCTGGGACCGTAACTGTTGCGACAGATGTACATTGGGTGTAGCCCGGTCAAAAATACAATGAGACTGCTCGTCGCTATCTATTCATGCAGCGGACATTTCAAAATGATTCTTCAATCAGTAAGTAACCAATGTGCCAAGCGTTGCTCGTGGTGACTCGGTGGCTAAAAGTGTAGAGATCCCAACTAACGCTTCAATGGTTCCGAATTTAATGTCTTCTATTTTTACCTGACGATTTCAAATAAAATTGAAGCGCGTCGTGGGATTCAGTGTTTTTGGGCGGGCACCACCCAATTTCTATTTGCATCAGCTACGGTCTCATTGATCAAGTTGATCCAGGTTCACCTCATTGCGAATCACAGTTGCATTGAGATTGTGCGTCGCAATTCAGGAACAAGAGTACCTTAGAATGACCTTTGTAATGCTTGTAATGGTCGTAGAGTGGGTGTGCCTCATGTATCGGGGAAATAGGGGAAGGACGCTAAAAGGGTGCGGCTTATATTGTTTGTGAGTTGTGAAGCGACCGGAGAGTCCAACTCTGATTTAGAAAAAACGATAATGACTATGGGTCAAGTGAAAAGAGAGATAAATAAAGGCACGCGAAGCAAAATAGCTCATGTGAACAAGGAAAGTGAATTCGTAAGGTCTCTAAGGTCAACATTTGAAAGCAGAATAGATAGCATCGTTAAAATAGAACTAACCAAGTGTCGTCGTTTCATGCATAAGCGCAATTCACTATACAATCCAACGGAATCGTGACGCGGTAATTGGAATGCACGGCCAATGCACGAAATAATTTGCTCTTTCACAGGCCCCGGAAGATCGCTGAGTAATAGTGCAGAAAGTTGGAATTAGAGGTTTACATATACAGCGATTAAGTTCAGTAAAACAATTATTTCGGATGGCTAACGGTAGTGAGTGAGTTGACGAACGCTGAGCATGGATGTTGCAAAATGTTCAGGTAGAACTTAAACAAATAGACTCAGTTAGACAGCCATCACGCGCACGAAAAAACACTGTATAGTCGTTTTATATTTTCAGGAATTGTCAGCAAAGTGCATTTATTCTGGCCCTTGCAGGGATGAAACCCACAACTCGATAGTTGCCAGTATGTGGTTGAGACCATTGGGCTACGGCGGACGGTAACAACCGCCGTGACTGTTACTAGGTATGATAAAGCGCCGCTCACTATCCATTAACTCGCAGATTACTGTCATGCAGAGGACAGAGTGGCCCCTTCACCAAGCGACGAACGTACCAAATCTAAATTTTCAGTTGATTTGTGGCATTATTAGCAGTTTGGCATGCGTATTAGGTAGACAGGAATAGTAAGAAAGGTGAATAATCGGAGTAGAAATTTATCACATTTAGACTGCAACAGACGGCCGTTACACGTCGGGAAGCACTGTACGGACATTTCACCCTTTCGGGAATTGTCAGCGGCGCTGTATCATATCGTGAAACCTAGTCACGTCAGTTATCCCCTTGCGCAATCACCAGTGGTCTTTATCACGGACTGGCAACAGCCGGGTTACGGGTTCGAGTCCCACAGGGGTAGGTGGAATTTGTATTGCAGACAATTCCCGAAAAGATGAAACGGTCGCACAGTGCTTTGTCGGGCATGTGGTGGCTGTCCGACCGAATCAAGCTGTGATAGATTTCTAATGATATAGTTCAAACCCCCACTACTCCTCTGAGAGCCATAAAAAATGTCACCTCAGAGTAGCAAACTAGAGTGCCGGTAAGACGCTGCTTATTCTGATTGCTGACAAACGATGACTCGGTCAAGAGGAATCATCATAATCATCAATAGGCGTTAGCTGAAGGTGAAAAACACACGTCAGATAATGCGCCGCAATACAAAAAGATAAAATACTAAAAATGCACACTACAAAGAATTCAAAAGCAAGGAATTTAATATCAAATAGTAAAGTATGCATTTCGTAGGAGATCTTAATTGTAGTGGGAATCTAAAGTAGAAGGGGTGGACAAAGAAATTCACAGCACAGACGCCATTGGGGTCGGCTCTTCACCACACCAGCAAGTCCATCCAACGAAACGGGTTCTTCGTCCTTCGCAGCCGATTCCGGCAGTCGGGATGCACCAAACGACGCCAAGTTCGAAGTGTGGGTTTTCCTTTCTCTGGACCAAGTCATCACTTAGTCTCCCGCCTCCTGGTCCAACCGCACCCCCAGCGCGCAAACAATGCACATCGCGGGAGTTGGTGTGCTGGCATGAGTAACATGTGGCCCAACCATCGGTGCCTGGCGCGTGGTTTAACGGTGCTGAGCGGTTCACTCGCTCTTCCTGCACCAAATACACGACGCCGAACACATTCATCGCTCACGCGGTGCTCCCACCAGATATGAGCTAAGCTGCGAAGACAGCAATAATGGTACTTTGAAGTTGGCGTCGGTTGGTGTCTCCCGACAGCCAGGCTGGGGTCACAAAGAAAATGAACTAGTTTGGTTTTGAGATACTAGTTGACATGGCGAAGAGCCGACCACAGTGGCGTTTGTGTCGTGATTTTCTTTCACCCTCCTCCTCCCGCTTAGCTTACTCTCCAATAGTAGTCTCACACTGCTAGTCTCTCTCAAACACCATCAACAGGAGTACAGCCATCAAAACTGGTATTTTGCTACCGTACAACCCCAATTACCTAGTGGATGAAGAATGATATGAGAAAGAAAATGGAGATGTAGTTTTAAAGTTAAATGCACTAAACAAACATTCAGGGTCAAGGCGCCTACACCTTGGCAACAACACACGGTCACAAACCGCTTGCTTTCGTACAATGATAAGGTGACACCGGCGACATAGCTTCCTTGCGGCTTCCACTTCCCGTATCATAAACAACCATTAGCTTGCAGATAACTCAGCACAAAACACATTTTAAACAGGCAGTTCAATTAGGAAACGACAACAGACGCGCCAAGTGTGCTGACTGCGAGCCAACGTCTTGAGGCGAACACAAGGTGGGTCACGAGAACTCCAGCCTGGAAGGTCGGACGGACCACCAACACCCAGTTTTGTGGTGAGTGACTTCGTTTCCCCCTGTTAAGCTAACTTTTGCCTACCTCGGGTCTTGAGCCACTTTATATCGGGCAAACAAAGCAAGGCTCTACTGGGCAAATGGTGACTGGGCATACCTAGTACATGTCCGAGTCAACGCAACTTATTCAATGTTATTTGTTGTTCCAATGAATTGTACGGCCTAGTACTGGCATGTGCACAAAATCGTCGCGGATACGCTTTTGCTATCCACCAGAAATGTCCCACAGGAAACGATGGTCAAAGATTTGGAGGCGCCTCGGGGTGTCAGACTGAAGGGACCGTCTCACCCCCCTAGCGTAAACCGGCCAACGATGCAGCCTTGTAGCCACAGTTTTTCAGACCTGTGACTCTATTCTGACGCCATAGATTTCCCCATTGAACTAGTGAGTGTGCATGTCAGATAATCCTACCAGCTAAAGTGTTATCCGATCCAGAAGACCCCAAACAGAAATAGTGTGAGCATCAACTCGGTGCGTGACTTCGGTCCGGTGACTCGAGGTCATTCGTTGTATCATCGGTTGACAACTCTGGTGTTTCATCTAAATAAGTGTAGCAGGATGTTAGAAGGACGTACGGATCACCAACTACCCCATCATCGTCAGATGTGTCCATTTTAGTGGAACCATTAGGCAAAATAGTGATCCCGCATGATAAGACTAGCACTGTGTAAATTCTGGTAGTACAAGGGTCAATCAGGTTGATGCCGCAGAGACAACATTCCGGGAATTGTTAACGGTATGTGTCAAGAGAGGTAACCAATGCCAGGCCATAAACGCGGTGGTCAGCTGCTACCATACGAGGACGTAGGCCTAATACAAAGGGCCGAAAAACTGCCAGCTTAAGAGCTTGTTTTGCGGGGAAACGAGTTTCAACGCAAGGTGCCAAGCTTCAAGATGAAAGAGTTCGCAGTTGACACCAAAGGACCCCAACAAATGTGGGTCAGTAAGTGGGTTCTGTTACAACACGCACCGCCCTAATAGCCACTGTACTGTTGGTGAAAACGATTTGCAGGTATGCCTGCCCTTGTACGATTTGATCGGACCAACAACCTGGGTTATGCTTTGCAGTATACCTGTGTGTGGTGAAGAGGTGGTGACCTGTGCTAGGTTGCGTCGAACACACACACACACACACACACACCACATTTACTATGTAGACTAGTAGCAGTGCGGACCAGTTTCCTTTAATACGGATCACATGAGGTGAAGCGAAATCGCATAACAGCGCCAATGGCTAACCTACGGCCCAAATGTGACATACATCAACAGGGCAAGTGCGAGTGATGGTCAGTCGTGCACAGCAGATTCGGTGAAAGAACATTGTAAGCATACAGACGGCAGCGTCAGGCTGTAGCCCACACCAGGATGACATCATTACATAGGGTAAAAGGGTATCAAAAGCGTGCATCCATCCGCAAGCAATAACAAGTAGCGGGTCCCTGAAGTCAGTACCCCGCGTGCAGGTAACAAATCAATAGAAACATTGGTAAATTCACAAGATCTGACACACAACATGGGGAACCACTACAGGTTCTGTACGTGGTGGATAACGAGCGCGAGCAACGTACCCTTCTTCGTTCGCATATCGATGCATAAATGCGAGTAGATCCGCAGCGCGACCGCTTCCATCACAGACAACCACTGGGACTGGATATCGCCCGGTGACCAATTCGAAGATTGTGCGGAACGTCTGCTGACCACCCTCTAGAAGAATACCCACAATGGGGACACGTGACTTGGAACCACCTGGGTGCAGAAGTTGAGAAAACAGTTTTCGCAGTCAGCGATGAAAGTGGCATTAGGGATGATGGGTCCAGAACAACATAAAACGATATCATCGAAGCAACACAAGGTATCGGTGCGAACGCCCACTGCTGTTGGATGCCGTTACTTGTAGTCACCAGTATGTGATGGGCACAAGTAAAGAGATGGTGGACGGCCTCAGAGGTATGCATCTGTTGATCTTAAACAGCACGCGTGGGGGAAACGAATACAAATTCCTGGAGATGGTTTATCGCATAAAGTCACCCCGTAAAACGGACTTGCTACACCAACGGAATGCAGAAATCAATGTACGAAATGCAGATATATAGGTTGTTAAATAAAAGAACAAAAAAGTCCAAATTGAGTGAGATGAAAATTAGACTAGCACTTCAATGGGTTAGGTCAACCGAGTGGTTTACCTCGATGCCGTTTGTTGGCTTTGGGATTATCTGTGTGGAGTCGCGATGAATCGGAAATAGATCGATTAGTCGGTAACACTGTTTATGAGTGACGAGTAGTGATTACGCTTCACAGGGTGAAGCGTAAACTCTCCTGAACTGCGAGTGTGTGAATGGGAAGCGGGGAACAAACAGAGGGTGGTTTATAGTGAGGTACCCGAATTCGTAATAGAGAAATCACTATGAAAGAAAGAGAGATAAGTGAATGTTGGAACACGATGGCAGTGATAAAAAACGCATAACCTCTGAAAGATTTGGGGCAATCGGTGGATCAAAAGCTGACCGGAATAAGATGGGCTCAGAAAAATACGGCGATGTGGGGAGCATTGTGCCGATAGAGCAAATTATCGCTAGAAAGGTCGTAAGTGGATAATACATATAAACAGGGTGAACATGGAGGAACGAGCTTAATCATAAAACCTTGCCGAGAGACCCGGTGGTAATAACAGACGTTTCAGACAAGTGTAGAATAGCTTGAAAGGTGAGGACCTTCTGAGAAAAATGTACTAGATAATCTAATGTTTGACTGTTAGGGGAAAGGAAAAATTCGTGGTGAGCAGGTGGCGGAATGGAGTGGAAGAGGTGCAGCTACGGAGGGCACATCGATCAATTTCCGAATGGTAGATACATTTCACTCTTGTTTATTGAGTAGCATCCGTGTAACGTGTATCTAGTTGCCCATGCTCGGAGAACAGATGAAAATCTGAACAACAAGATGGTTTAGAGAAATAAAAAAAAGGCAATTAAAACAATGTCGATGCTATAAAAGCTGGAGTGAGGATTTGTGAGTTGGAAGGAAAGGACCGAAGCTTTGAATGTCATCGGATTAACGAGCATGTCCTGTGTGATGATTCTTGAGGGACGGTAGATTAACAGACACCATACACTGAAGCCGCCAGCGGGGCATGTGAACCAAGCTCTAAAGACTGCGCAGCGTGTCACCCGAGTTGTTGCCAAACACCAGTGAACGAATTTCAGCGTCCCGTGATGGGGACTACCTTCAGACACGAAGAACGCTTCGCACCTAGAGGTGGTCAAAGAATTTAGTTTGATCGTGTTAAACATGTAATGACTACGTTAGGATCTATAGTAACACTGGAACATTTTAGAGGCGCACATTAATAGGCAGATGTCCTTAAGCACTGTGGGCGATTCAGGCATAATATGCCACAAGCAAATAACAGAGACGCACAGCAGATATTACACTTAGTTGGTGGGACCCGTTCCTCAGCGGATGAAAACCTGACCCTGAGAGAACATGGCTAACCCGCATTCCGTGCCGAGTGTAAATCTGAACGAATGAGATACGGAGGAATGCAGGCAAAAGCCCCGGCTGCTTCGAAGGAAACCCACGCTTTTCCAAACACAAGATAAAATTGGCGGGAGAATCCGCATGACAGTGATCGGTGTTCGTAACAGCAAACAAAGTGTGTGTGTGTGTGTGTGTGTAAAGTACACTGCTAGGGAATCACTGAACTTGTGAAAGAGGGATATCTGAGATTCAATCACTCAAGTAAAATCTGTGGAAACACTCAATATCAACATAAGACATAGTGGCTACCACCAACAGCGAATAGCGAGCTCTTGGAGATGGTAAGCGAGATTGTGGCGCTGAATGAGGACGCATCTGGCTCACATTCACATTGTGCGATGTCAGACCGAATGATGAAGACGACCAGAGGACGTGCGAGTATAGCTCAACTGCGGCGCGCGCACGGTTTAAGGAATATCGGCCCCAGCACTGGTGCGCGTACAGCGATGTTTAGATCACTGGACAACAGACAGTCGAGTAACATGTATGGGCGCTAAATGATGGAAGGTGACAAAAGCCATGTAGAAATCATGCAAGTTAGATGAGGTAGGGTAATATGTGAAGGTTGACGGCTTGTGAAATCTGCCGAGAACGCAAGAGAAAGTAACGAACGAACACATACCAGTACACTGTCTAAGCTAAAACATAAAACAATACAAACACTAACGCAAGGTCAAGGAATATATGAAGTATGCCCAGCGCTACCGGCCAGTGCTGAGCGATTGTTGTGGCAAAGCCGGTCCATCACGGACGAGTCATCATCATCATCAACAGCAGTACATCAGCCATTTGAACTGATGCTTCGCTGCCATACAACCATGAGGACCTATGAAATAAAGAATAAGAAGAGGGAGAGGAGGGGGACTTACCTAAAAACCTTAATGCCCTAAGCAAACATTCAGGGTCAAGGCGCCTACACCTTGTGTTAACAACATTCCGTCACAAACAGCTGGCTATCGTGCAAAGATAAGGCGGCATCGGCGAGACAGCTTCCTTGCGGCTTTCACTGCCACGCGTCATAATCAGCCATTACCCCGCAGATAACTCAGCACCAAACACACTTTAAACAGACAATCCAATTAGGAGACGGCAGCAGACGCGCCACTGGTGTCGGTTGCGAGCCATGTCCTGTAAAGTCTCGAGCCAAGCACAAGGTGAGTCACGTGGGCTCCAACCCGGAAGGCGAGACGGACCAACGGCACCCAGTTTGGTCGTCAGTGACTTCATTTCCCGCTGCCAAGTCAACTTCTGTCCACCTCGAGCCTTGCGCCATCCGACACCTGGTAGACTGAACAAGGCCCTCCTAGGTAAGCGGTGACCAGGCATGCGTAGCACGTGCCCGAGCCAACGTAACTTATTCAGTGCTATCTGTTGTTCTAGCGAGCTAGCATGATCATCACCACCTAGTACTCGCCTACGCACATCATCGTTGCGGACGAGTGATTAAGTTGGTAGACGCGCAAGCGCAGAACGGACAGCCTGTGCGGCCATTACCCTGGTCATAAATATAGTATAGAGCAGTTGTTACGTCGCGTCAATGGGCAACGACCAGCTGTCATGGCTGGTTGCCGAACTACCTCCTCGTGCTGCCAGCTGGGTGGTTCGGGTGTATTCCGTTCCAGCAAAGTGTTCGGTGACAATGTTCCACCTCCGTGGGGCATTGTAGTCCAACAATATTTCTGACTTCATGAGGAGTATTGGGCGCCTGTTTAGTAATCTACCAAACAAAGGCGCATGAACTGATCATTCAGTCAACGCCTCCCAATGGGCGCGATTCCCTGAATTCGCCCCGCTGCCTTGCGGGTAGGTTATTTAGCCAAAATCTCGGGGTGGAGTCCCCTAAGTCAACTCCATAATTCGGCTTGGGCAACTGGGTAGTATCACGCCCCCTCACAAAACCATACACTGTACTACAACGTGCACATCAACTACCGCTTCTGCTTCTCACATTCACGCGACTTCATTGCACGCCAATTGTTCGTTTGCCAGCAATCCTCACTTTCCGTTACCCGATTTATGTGTTCAACAATCTGGCTGCGATTCTGGTTGCGCCGCGAACTACGGAGTTCAACCTATGGCTCTTCTTCGTCCCCTATCCTCGTTCCGTCTGGCGTGCTTCAACGTTCGGACACTCATGTAGACTGGACAGCAACTCGGTCTAGCACTCACCCTAGAGTTCCTCGATATAGATGTCTGCTGCCTTTCAGAAACCCGTTCCTCTTCTTCAACACAACCGTGGTCTCAAATTGATCACATTGCAATTAGCTTCAGATGGCGCGGCTGCGTACTGGACTGGTCCACTTTCGTTGACTCAGATCATGCACTGGTCTGCGCGAAAATCTGTATGTATTTTGGAGGATCCCGAAACACGAAGCACTGCAAGATTGATATAAACAGATTAACAGATTCCTCTGTCCAGACGAGCTATCAGTCTTCAGTGGCACATGCACTCAGTTGCAATCCACCGCAAGAAGTGGAACAACACTGAACCTGTATACAGAAAGCGATGACCATTTCCGGACAGTCATGCTGCGGCCAAACTCGACGCCCCTTGAAGGCTTGGATCTCTGCTCGTTCTCTGGAGCTGTTCGAACGCCGCAAAGATATCCTGGCGGAATCAGATTGCAACGAGCGGCAACGTTCTGCCAACCGGCTGCTCAAACAAAGCCTACGCAAGGATGGCGAGGCATGGTAGTCTGAGCGTGCTTTAAAGATGGAGACCGCTGCCCTCTCTGGCAACGCTCGCAGGCTTTTCCAACTCATTCGGCCCACTGGCCTCAGGAAGCCTGGTGACAGTGAGGTCATTTGTGAGGTGGGTGAGTCTCCGATCACCAACCAACAGAGACGTATGGACCCCTGAGTCAAGCACTTTCACTCGCAGTTCAACTGGCCTCCTCCGTCCATCAGTACATGCAGTACACGTTGTTGTCCACCCTGGTTCGTCACACTGAATCTACCCAGGGCAGCGGAAGTCTGCCTCGAGATTCGACGCTTGAAGCGCTTCAAGGCTGCCGGCTCAGACGGACTTCCTCCGGAGCTTTTCAAGTACGGCGGTTTGACGATTGTTAACCCGCTGACCACGCTGTTCGCAAAGACTTGGCATGAAGAGAAAGTGCCTTCCTCTTGGGGCGAATCAGTTATTGTCCCGATTTTCAAGAAAGGCGCTCGCACCATGTGTAAATCAGCGCGGGATTAGTCTTATTTCGGTTGCT